CGGCCTTTCAGTATCTGTCGATATTTCTGAGATGAGGTATTATGTACACTATTTACATTATTCGGACTATTGTCCTCATCTTTGTCGCCATATTTATTACAACGTTTCGGCCTTTCAGTATCTGTCTATATTTCTGAGATGAGGTATTATGTACACTATTTACATTATTCGGACTATTGTCCTCACCTTTGTCGCCATATTTATTACAACGTTTCGACCTTTCAGTATCTGTCTATATTTCTGAGATGAGGTATTATGTACACTATTTACATTATTCGGACTATTGTCCACACCTTTGTCGCCATATTTATTACAACGTTTCGGCCTTTCAGTATCTGTCTATATTTCTGAGATGAGGTATTATGTACACTATTTACATTATTCGGACTATTATCCTCATCTTTGTCGCCATATTTATTACAACGTTTCGGCCCTTCAGTATCTGTCTATATTTCTGAGATGAGGTATTATGTACACTGTTTACATTATTCGGACTATTGTCCTCACCTTTGTCGCCATATTTATTACAACATTTCGACCTTTCAGTATCTGTCTATATTTCTTAGATGACGTATTATGTACACTATTTACATTATTCGGACTATTGTCCTCATCTTTGTCGGCATATTTATTACAACGTTTCGGCCTTTCAGTATCTGTCTATATTTCTGAGGTGAGGTATTATGTACACTATTTACATTATTCGGACTATTATCCTCATCTTTGTCGCCTTATTTATTACAACGTTTCGGCCCTTCAGTATCTGTCTATATTTCTGAGATGAGGTATTATGTACACTATTTACATTATTCGGACTATTATCCTCATCTTTGTCGCCATATTTATTACAACGTTTCGGCCCTTCAGTATCTGTCTATATTTCTGAGATGAGGTATTATGTACACTATTTACATTATTCGGACTATTGTCCTCACCTTTGTCGGCATATTTATTAGAACGTTTCGGCCTTTCAGTATCTGACTATATTTCTGAGATGAGGTATTATGTGCACTATTTACATTGCTCAGACTATCATCCTCATATTTGTTGCCATATTTATCACAACATTTCGGCTGTTGTATGTTCTGGCCTTCTTCAGGTGGTTGGAATGAGGAAATGAACCCTTTCTTTTGCTCGGTGGGGTAAACTGTTCTAGTTCCACGTGCCATGTCTAATGGATGTCAGTTATCGGTTATCTCCTGTTAATTCTCCTCTCCACAAAGACATATGTCACAGTTGATAAAGGCGTTAGTTAGATCCAGTGACAGGACCCAACAGAGTGTGAGTTCAATACCCGGTTAAGGCAGTGGAGAACTTGGAGAGGGTAATTAAGAGGACATAACTGATAACCGAAACCCATTAGACATGGCGCGTGGAACTAGAACAGTCTACCCCAGCGAGCAAAAGAAAGGGTTCAGTTCGACATTCCAACCACCTGACGAAGGTCGGAGCGCACAACAAACGAAATGTTGTGATAAATATGGCAACAAAGATGAGGAGGATACTCCGAGCAATGTAAATAGTGTAGGAATAGAAAAGTTTTAAAAAGATGCTGAGAGGGATAGGAAGTGATGGAGAGTCATAATCACTCACATTCTAAAGGGACGCGGGACATAAAGAAGAAGCAAAATGTCCGAATACTGGCTCCGGGCCTCAAAATAGATTCGTATTTATAATAAGCTTTCAACAACCCCTAAACCACGTTGGGATTTATTTCTCAAGTTATGACCAAATGTCTATGAAAACAGCATTTCTTTTTAACATGTTTCTGTATTTATATTTGTGTTATAGTAGAACACACCTATTCTATAGTTAATAGACTCTACCACCTATAACAAGTAGGAGTAGTAAGAGTAACAAGTCAGTCAGTGAGTTGGTCAGTCAGTCGATGTCGGACGACCGTTAGTCGGATATTAAAGTATCAGCCGACACAACTAGATTACTGCGTCATTACCTCTTATATCAAGTTCCTAATGTTTTGTAAGTCGAACCTATTTTAGGACCGACTTAGTACAAATACAAGCCTCCACTGTGAAAACCACTACATAACAATTTGCAACAGATATGCCGCTGTTTTTCTATGTTTCGCTTGCCGTTGATGGATACTGTGAGAACTAAGTTTCCAAAACTTCTTTCTCCATTATATATCCCAACAATTTAAGCAGACTCTTTCTGAATGTTGACAGCAATATCTTTTGGGATGTACTTCCAGTGCAGCAATCTTTTATGCCACAACCTGTCAAAGGCCTGTCTAATATCTAATGCGATCGTCTTTGAGATGTATTTATCGAATATTATTGTCTCACTGATACTGTGACTAATGACAAGATATCAGCAGTGGACTAAGCCGATCGAAATCCGTACTGCTTGTCGCTCAAGATTTTGTCCCAACTGAATGGATCAATAAACTTCTTGTTGATAATAGCATAAAATAGTTTGATAATTATACTTTGAAGGGTGATGGGTATATACTGAGACGGGGATAAGCGCTCACCCGCATTATTAAAACCTTCAATAGACATAGGAAGTATTTATGATTGTCAGCAAGATTACCACCTCAAGATCATAATGGTAATCGTCATATTCGATGTTTCCTTATAAGGAAAGATCCGCTATTCATTTACGGAGGACGTTGTACTACTGTCGGTTGAAATTTATAAAATCTTTCTCTTAAAACAGTTTTTTCGGGATAATAGGTTTCTCAGGTCCACTATTTCCAGTATTGATGGCGGTTTCCTTCCTAACGTTTTGTTTGAATTCGTGTGGAAAATGAACATCTTAGTTACGTTCTTATTTTCTCTTCGAGCTGCACGTGATATCCATTTTAGCTGATGTTTCTGGTGAAAGATATCAAGTGATGTGATTTCTATTATTTGCTAATGTTCTTTGTTTGCGATGTTTGAGAAATGTGGTCTTCTCCGAGATCTATAGACTTCACTCGCTCAGTGATTTTAGCCAAAGAATGTGAGTTCAATACCTAGTTAAGGCCGTGGAGAACTTTCAGAGGGAAATTAACAGGAGATAACTGATAACGGACATCCATAAAACATGGCTCGTGGAACTAGAACAGTCTACTCCAGTGAACGAAATAAAAGGGTTCAATTCGATATTCCAACCAACTGAAGAAGGCCGGAGTCTACAACGGCTGAAATGTTGTAATAAATATGGCGACAAAGATGAAGACAATAGTCTGAATAATGTAAATAATGTATATAATCTAGAAGCTGTAATAAAAATCGAAGGGAACAGTAACACCGAGTTGTATAGGAATTACGAAAGATACTCTCCAAACGCTGAGTCAAATATGTCGGAAATAATGAAGAATGGACTCATGTGAGTAGAGAAGTAATGTCGACCGTGGGATCCTAAGGCGCGAATGCTTCATTCTCCTCCGCTTTAGTAGCCATCCATTTGGATTGGCAGAAGAGGTGAGGCCATTGTTATGTTATAAAAAAAACCCTCCACCTCATACTCGAGATGCTTTTTGGCTGACAGCAAAACAATTTGTTATTATTGTTCATGTCTCTTATTACTGTGGTCATCTGACCCTAACTGGGAGCGTCGCAAACGAAGAACGTTTTCTTTTGCAACCCAGTCATTCAGCAACTATCTCAACGCTGGGCTTTTCAGTCGAATTCATTTTCGATAAATATAATTCCTCACGTATAATACGTATTTTTTTCTAAAAAATTTTAAGCAAAATCAGGGGTGCGTATTATGCACAGCTAGAAAAAATCTTTAAAAAATTGCCGTAAAATAAAATAAGAATTATCATAAAACTAAATAAGAATAATATTATTCTATGTTTAAAACTATTTTTTAAATAAGAGTAGAAAACGCTGACCTTAATGAAATTGGAGAGGTACAATTTATAGTGGTTGATTACTAAACAAGGGGTGCGTATTATGCATGAGTAGAAGCATTTTCCGGCACTTTCAGCAGAATTTTACGGGTGCGTATTATGGATGAAGGCGTATTATACATTTGGAATTACGTTATTAAGAAACTGGAAGATGTCATTAAAGACAAAGAAAAGAGTGATGAATTGTTGTAGCACCGAACCCTGATTAATTTCCTCATAGCTGAAGACACAACAATGAAGAATCCTGAGAATAATATGGACGGAACATATAAATAGCGAGGTAGTTTTAAGAAAAATGAAAACAAAAAAGACGCTTAAATTTAAAATCAGAAAGAGATCAGTTGAAATTTCAAGGGGTACATAATGAGGAAAGTAGGGTTGGAAAATCTTACACTCACAGGGCATAACGAAAGCAAGGAGGGGGTGTATTTGCTCAAACATGTTAAGTAGGTTACACGATATTTCCATCTGTCCCAGAGGGAAACATCGAGTAAGCTACTTATATTGCTTGTGCAGATAGAAGTGAGTGCGAGGCTCGTAAAAAGATAAATATTGCTGACATATAAAAGTATAGGAACTTGTGGTGAGCCATGATCGCCTACGACCTGAAAAGACATCACATATTAAAGAAATATTATCCCTAACATTTTTTGTTTTCTTTTATAATCTCTTCTTTTCTTTTTTTCTTTCTTTTTTTCAATATTCACCGACATTTCTTTGACGCTTAAAGACTTTATACGTGATAAAACTGTCCAGTCTCATGGAAGTACACACTACATAGCAACTCAGCATCCATCTTCTCATTTCCTTCTTTCTTGATCCTATCATTTCTTACTTTCTTTCGTTCTTTAATTTTCTTTCTTTCTTTAATTTTCTTTCTTTTTTTCTTTTTCCATTCTCCATTTTTTCTTTCTTGATCCTATTCTTTCTTTCTTTAATTTTCTTTCTTTCTTTCTTTCTTTCTTTCTTTCTTTCTTTCTTTCTTTCTTGCTTGCTTGCTTTCATTAAATTCCTTTCTTTCTCTATCTTCGCATTTTCTTCTTTTTTATCTTATTATTTCTTTCTTTCTTTAACTTTCTTTCTTTCTCAATTTTCGCATTTCCTTCTTTTTTGATCCTATCATTCTTTCTTTCTTTAGTTTTCTATCTTTCTTTAATCTTCTTTCTTTCTTTAATTTCCTTTCTTTTTTCTTTCTCCACCCTCGCATTTCCTTCTTTCTTGATCCTTTTCTTTCTTTCTTTCTTTCTTTATTTCTTTCTTTCTTTCTTTCTTTCTTTCTTTCTTTCTTTCTTTCTCCACCCCCGGCTTTTCTTTCCTTCTCGATCCTATGATTTCTTTCTTTCTTTCTTTCTTTCTTTCTTTCTTTCTTTCTTTCTTTCTTTCTTTCTTTCTCATGGACTTATGTCTTTCTCTCTCTGTCTATCTATATGCTCCCCGTTCGTTCATTCACAATGATTGTTACTAAATTTTCCTCCCTCTTTTTTTCTCTCTCTCTCTCTCTCTCTCTCTCTCTCTCTTTTTGTCTCTTGCCTTCATTCATTCTTTCTTTCCTTTTCTTTCGCCGCCTTTTTATTTCTTTTTCATTCTCGGTTCACATTTTCTTAATTAGTTCTCTCTTTCTTTTCTCCCCACTTTTTTTTTTTTATCTATCTCTCCCACCCTTTCTCCTTCCTTTCTTCATCTCATTATTTCTTCTCATTTTTTTATTCTCTTTCACACTTTCTCTTTCTTTTTCCCTCTTTCTCGTACTGCACTGTTTTTCCCTCACACACACACACACACACACACACACACACACACACACACACACACACACACACACACACACACACACTATTTTGCTCTCTCTCCCACGCCGCTCTCTATCTCGCTTTCTCTTTTAATTACTTATAAAAACATACAAGTAAATTTGTACAGATTTGGGGGTCTGCAATTATAAAGATCGAATGAACATTGACAGTTGTGATGATTGATGTTAGCGAAGTGAAGAGTGTAATTAAGTCGACAACTCAGTTGGGGTGAACTGTTTGTATATGACGTTGGTGCAAAAGTCTCCGTGATTTATTTTTACACTTTCTTGCATTTCTTTCATTCATATAAATTCATAGCATTCACTCGTCAAGTTTTTCCCTAGGTTTTATACCCTAACTCCACCTTTCAGTTAGATTCTGCCTGCCAGTGCTACTCAGATTGTCCGATTTCGCGTACCGCCATGTTTGTCTTTTTTTTTTCAGTTTGCTAAGGAACGTTGGGATAACTGTATTAAGTTATAATCCGTACCCAACCAGTAAAATATAGTTAAAATGTTAAGGTTTATCGGGAAAGATACAATAAATATTTAAAAATTTAGCTTTTTAAAATTTATATTTATTTTTGTAAGCAGCAAAACATACAAAATAAATACATATAATAAGAAATAAACAAACTTTCTCAGAAAAATGTTTAAAACCTGTTCAGTAAAAAATTGACAACTTTATTCCATCATCATCATTCCGTTCCAGAACTTTCTCCAATCGCGATGTTCCCTCACGGTGACTCAGTGCCTTGATTTATTTGGTTTTAAATACAAACCAGACCGGGGATGATTGTGAACTGAACGATAGGCGAATCTATCTACTCCTATTGGTGGAGGAGATAATAAAATAAAATAAAAAGTTAATGAATAAAATGCCATAGTTCAGACACTGACGTTAGAAGTACCTTGAGAACGTATTTAGTCTTAAATACAAATCAAACCTGAAGTGGAACATGTACATACGACCCACGCTAATGATGCGGGGAAAATGGCCGGTTCACTGTACCGATCCAGCAAGTAGCCGACTCCTACCGCCATCCAGTACCTAGGCTGTCACATATGGACAGAAGCTGCCCAGTCTTCACATTCAAGTCTCGACAGAGTTCAAAAACGTCTCTGCGTCCTTGTGAGTCAGTAATTATTTTTCATTCTAAAACCTCTTTCACACTGACGAAAAGTGGCAAACCTCTGACTGATCTATCGCTCTTTCCATGGAACTACAGGTAAGTACATTCATTGGTTTCCACCAACTGTAACATCTATGGCTAAGACCAGCCATGCCACGCACATTATATCGAAACATTTTCATTCTCTTCGGATTCCGTTAGTTAGATGTAATTTCCACTCGAGCGGATTCTTTCAATGGATCATTGCTTGCATCCTGGAACCAATTAGCAAGAGGATGATTTTCCGATCACTACAATCTTCTTCCCACGAAGCGATGCTTTGTGGCACCAACTATCAAGAGCCGTTTCCTCAATCTCAACAATCTTAACATCTAGAGAGAAAGCTGATTTCACATTGTTGCGTTGGTTTTGGTACAAATGCTAGCATTTAAACAACAATCGAAGCCTTTCCAATCATTTGCATTAATGATCATTCCCAGACGGGGTGTGCTCGAAAAAAACATACATTCAAACAGCACCAAACGACTCTAGTGTTAACCGTTATCTTCCTCTCGTATCAGCATAAACTGTACCTCTTACTCTGTAGCCCTCTACCTCAAGTGGCTTTCGGGCATTTTGCAGAACGAGCATCATTGTAAAAACAAAAAAAGAAAATTATAAAATTTTGAAACGAATTTTATTTTTTAACCAATTCACCCCAAACAAGGTGAGGGTGCCACTAAGACATCAGGGGCTACTGAAAGTGAAAAAAAAAAGCAACCGGAAACCCAACGCTGAGCAGGAAACAAGTGATAAAACTCTACTCATGTTCAAAAGACCGGAGAGGAGGGTGAACTGGACGATAGGCGAACCTATCTACTCCTACTGATGGAGAAGATAATAAAATAAAATAAAATGAAATGAAAAGTTAATGAATAACATACCAGAGTTCAGGTGCTGACGCTAGAAGTACTGAGCTGCAGAGGGCTTTGGAAGGAACCGGAAATCCAACCCTAAACAGGAAACAAGGAATAAACCGCTACTCCTATTCAAAAAACCGGAAGGGGCATGAACCGGGCTATAGATGGACTTGCCTACTCCCATTAATCCCCAACAATATAATAAAAACATACAGTATTTAGTGTTCATGAAAAACATTTTAATAAAAATGTTACAGTACTGATGAATATCAAAAGAGCTTGTTAGAGATAGATTTTCATGCCGGAATTTTTGAACACGACTGTATTCTTTTTCAACGATACAAGGAATAAACATTGAAATCTTTCTCTTCGTGCTTCAATTCACTAAAAAGGTTAACATATAATATAGTATCAAGTTTATTGACAATATTGATATCATTTTGATGATTTTTTATTCTTCAAATTTTATTTTTCGATTTTTGTTAATCGGTCTATTGAATCTACATAATACCACTAAAAAAAATTCCATCTACCTAAGATATGTAGATGATATTCTCATCTTAGTTAAAGCATATATGAAATACATGAAGTTCAAAAAAATTCCAAAAAAATCCGTTCTTAAGTTCACATATGAACTTAACAATAACAACAGAATTCCTTTTCTTCATATATTGATAGACACCAATAATGACACATTTCCTACCACCCCATATAAAAAAGAACTTGTATAAACACGTACACTCTCAACTATAAAAGTGAATGCCCTATTACAAAACAGCGATTACACAAAATTTAATAAATCGTGCAAAAGTTAATTCTTCTACGAAAAATAATTCTACGCGGAATTAAAAAACATTAAATTAACTCTCATTAATAATGACTTTCCTAATGATCTTCTTGATGAAAAAATTAGACGAGCTATTAGAAATATTAACATAAATAAAAAAAGAATATAATCCTTCCGCAAATAACCTTAAGCATATCAAACATCTATACTGCAATCAAACACACTCTAACTATATACAAAATGAAAAAATCTTTAAAAAACTCCTAAGTATTAACATATCCCTGACTGATCACAATGAAAAATAAAACTAATTATATATTATACTAAATTTAATACAGCCAACTTAATCATCTGCAAGAATTCTTCTCCGTCAACAAATATTTTGCAAAAGACCAACATTATATATTTTAAATGTACTTTGGGAGATGGTATCTTTGACAAAAAAGTAAATATATGTTGGTTTCATGACGACATTATCAAGGTTTACATTATTCATATTGGATTCAAGTTCTATTGTACAACATTTAAAATAACATTCCAGTCCACATTTACGTTTTAGAGAAATTTTAATTGACCATACATGTATACTCCGCCATGAAAATAAAAAATAAAAACTTCAAATTCTTGAATATCTCTATATTAAAAAATGTAACCAACACTAAATAAGATTAATTATTAGTATAATATTAATGTTTTAAAATGCCCATATAAGCAATGTTTTGGGATACATAAATTGTAAAAAAAAATTTTTTTTTTAATTGCAGGTTGAGTATTTTAAAACATTATTAATAAAAAATATAAATTAAGTTACTTCACTTACATATTCTTAACAGTCAATTTTTAAATTGACTATAATATGATCATAAGATATTATAAAATATTAAAAGAAAGCTTAAATCAATGAATGTGGTGCGTCAGAAAAATAACTGGACAATTGACACAGCCAATTTAGCGTCTGACTGTTTCACTGTCACTGTCTTTGACCGGAGGCAACTCCCCCCACACACAAAAAAGGATAAAAGCATCGAAAACACTCAACTTTCAATATGACTGTTTATTCATTTATAGAAATAAGGATTAATTAAGGAATTATTTGTTTTGTTTCAATTAATTTGCACAAGTTCATATATATATATATATATATATATATATATATATATATATATATATATATATACAGTGCTGCTCGATAAAAAGTGACTCACCTGATTTTCTTTTACTAAATGTTCTCTTCTCCGATGAAACGAAAGTTGAGCTAAATTCAAACGATAAGCGATCTAAAATCTGAAGAAGAAGCTTTGAAAGCTCTTTGAATTTAGCAGTAAGTACTGTCAAGCATCCGTTCAGTATAATATTTTGGAGATGCTTTTCTTTTCATGAAACTAGTTTTTTAAAACCTATTGAAAAGACCCTCAGGAGCGAGCAGTACAAGAGAATTTTACAGTCTTGCCTGCTCCCTTCTGCTGAAAGTGTGTAAATCGACCCCACCAAGTTCATTTTTATCCAGGATAATGCTCCCTGTCACAAATCAAAATTGATGAAAGAATACTTTGATGAGAAGCAGGTGAGTGTTATGACATGGCCGCCCCAATCTCCTGACCTCAACCCCATAGAAAACTTATGGAGCATTATAAAGTACAGGCTCTCGAGAAAGCAGTTGAGCAACATGCTCCAGCCCTGTATATATATATATATATATATATATATATATATATATATATATATATATATATATGAAGAAATATAGTTTTAATGTGTGCTACGTTTATGGTTCTCACATCATGCCTTCAAAGACATGCAAACCTCCAACTCCGTAGTAACTAAAGCAGCCCCCAAAAAACTTTTTTCAAGGGATGTTTTACGAATTGATTAATGTTTCTCTCCGGTTGATCTACGAACATGCTATATATATATATATATATATATATATATATATATATATATATATATATATATATATGTCCAATTTTCGTACACTTTCTTGGAGTAACGTCCATCTTAGACAAAAGCTGTAGGACAACAAATCGACAGTCGAGACAATTGTGTTTGGGCGTGATGAAAATATATTTTTCAAGGCCAAACAAATTTCATGATACCCCCCAAAAAAAAAAAAAAAAGTAGATTCATATCACTACACACTACTGCAAATGGCCTAATATAAGGGAAAAATACCTTATACCCTGCTCCTCCAGTGGGTCTAAAATTGACCATATGGTGAAAGAAAGGACACTAAAACGGTTGTTTCAATTAATTTGCCCATAGGCGTATATACATGAATTTAATCACTACTAGATTGGTGGCAAGATCTCAACGAGGTGATCCACTACAAGTGCCCTGAGGAGGTAGTGCCGCCCTGCTCAAGATAGTGGCTGCTGGGAAACCCTATGTCTGGCAACAGGACTTAGCATTATGACACACAACCACGAGAACCCTGTCATGGTTTTCTGTGACCACATCAGTCCTTACATCTGGCCACCTAACTCCTCGGATTGCAACTCTCTTGGTTATTATGTGTGGGCCTCAGTTAAGCGAGAGACCAAAAAATATTCCTTTTACCACCAAAGATGAACTGAAGGCTGAAGGATTATGGCAGCATTCACCAACTTAAACAAGGATACTGTCCAAAAAGAAATGCAGAAGATTTCGAAGTCATCTAAAGGCCGAGGTAAAAGTCAATGGCGATTTTATTGAATAAATTTACTCTTTCATATTTAAAGATATTTTTGAGTAAATGTATCTATTAAAATGAGTTGTCAGTGTTATTTTCAATTTTACGTACTTTAGACGACAATCTATCCATCACCCCCCCCCTTACGCGCGCGTGCGTGTATGTGTTTGTCTACCATTAATGTACAGGGTGGTCCAAAAGTCTTGTCACCCCAACACAATCTAATATTCTTTCAACGCTCTATGTGAGTAGAGAGACAATGATGAATGATACCAGAAGACTCATAATCTGAAGGACGCCGTTTACAACAATCGGCAAAGCGCAGCTTCGTAAAATATCACACAAAACATGGCGCCGCATCATTCCTTTGTGTTTCACGAAAATGATGGTGTTCATACAGACCTTCTCGATGTGTGACAGCGTCAATGAAATTGAATAAACTGAATCCAGTACATGTGTTTTGTATTACTGTAGTACTTGTTCTATTGTTCTCATTACTTTTTGGTAGGGGGTGACTAGACTTTCGGACCACCCTGTACAAAGTTTTCTAATGCAAGATAGATATTGTAATAAGCTCCAAGAATGCATTAATTCCTGTCGTGTCTCAGTAAACAATTTAATACAAATACTTAAAGGCTATGAAGAAAGTGAGATTCAAATTTAAACGTTACAGACTTATTTTTTTTTTTTATCAGGAATTTTTATATTAAATTTCCAGTCAGAAACTATGTTGAGTCTCGCCACTTTTTTCATCGGCAAACTTTTTAATTCATCATCGTTTTCTTCAATTCCGAAATGATTGAGACAAAGAAAAAGACGATAAGACATGCACACTCATGTAAACGCAGACAATTACACACGGACACGCACATTCACACATTCTCGTATACATGGACTTGATAGAGTGAAGAATGGAGAGATGAAAATGGAATAGGAATTAGATCATTCATAAATAAAGATATTTAAAAAAAAACTTCTAAAAAGGAAAAACAAATAGATAGATAGATAGATAGATAATGAACATATTTAGATAGATAAATAGATATTCAACAGATTTAGATAGATAGATAGATAGATAGATAGATAGATAGATAGATAGATAGATAGATAGATAGATAATGAGCATATTCCCGAACATTCAGGCCGGTAAATGTAATTAATACTGTTTAATTAAAAAAAAGAGCATTTTCATAAATACTAAAATAACGTATAAACAGAAAATATATTAAATAATTGTCGGACATAGTCTATTTCATTGTTTGTATATATATATATATATATATATATATATATATATATATATATATATATATATATATATATATATAAAAAGAGAGAGAGAGAGCGATAGATAGATAATGAACATATATAGATAGATAAAAAGATAAATAATGAACGTAGATAGATAGATAGATAGATAGATGACCACATTTAGATAAATAGATACTGATCAAATTTACATAGATAGATAGATAGATAGATAGATTATGAACAGAGATAGATAACGAACAGATTTATCTCTCTCTCTCTCTCTCTCTCTCTATATATATATATATATATATATATATATATATATAGAGAGAGAGAGAGAGAGAGAGAGAGATAGATAGATAGATAGATAGATAAGGAACACAGATAAATAGGTACTGAACAGATTTAGATAGATAGATAGATAGATAGATAGATAGATAGATAGATAGATAGATAGATAGATAGATGAGATGAGAACACACTGAGTATCCCATAATGCAATGGTGGGGGGAATGGTTGGTTCCAAGAAGTAGGACGCGTCGATAAGAAAACCAAAACTGAGGATGTGGCTTGACATTTCGATTCCAGGTCGCCTCTCTTTCGTTCTGTAAACATTCCAATGGAGAGGGCACTGAGTTTACGATGGCGGGAGTGACAAATGGAAAAGGGAATTTGAAACACGTGTCTTTCTCGATCAGAGTCGACTGCTATGTGTATGTGGATTTCTGTTAGCCTGCCTTTGTGCTTAGGGGTCTCTTATAACATTATGTTAGAAGTTAGACTCCATAATATTGGCTTACATTGAATGCCACATTAAAACACCGATTCCCGTACGGTCAGCGAAGGTAAGCAATAGCGAGTCTGGCAAGTACTTAGATGGGTGACGGTTTGGGAATATCAGGCGATATAAGCTTGGGAGTGATGGTATTGTAATTAAACCGGAAAACCGTGTTCAAAATCCAGTCGGTTTTGTTTATAGTCTCTTACGGACAAATGCCCTAAATAAAGTTATGAATCAACCTCTTCTCCCCCCACCTTGTATCACTAAACCATTAAAATCTAAAAAAAAAATCTTGTATTAGTTAATCCTGTTTATCTCAAAAAAATTCTTGCAATCTAAAAAAAAATTTTCTGATTTTAAATAACCTGGAAAAGGTTGATAAACCGTAAAAACGAATTAATCAGTTTAATTACTTTGTATTTTATTTTCGATGTGTATCTGTAGATCTATCGTTACTAAGAACAGTTCAATCAATCATCTGACTTTATGGATGGGATAATCATATTCCAATATTTTAGTTTCTTTTTAACTCTATCTCTGTCCATCTGACTGTCTGTCTCTCTATCTCTCTCCCTCTTTCTCTCTCTCTCACACACACAAAACGCCTTTTTCTTACATTTTGTTCAAAATTATGCGACATTGATACGAGATATCTACCAACCGCACCATGCGGACAGATGTGGCACAAGGTCGAATTTAACGTAGGCTCACCTAAAAATTACCCGTAGACCGCGTATAAAACAGTGTCTGGTAGCTGTTTCCCGAGACGACACTCTGCCCTTCGACATAGCCTCGTCTGTGGATCCTCTCTGTTCGGAAGATTCGTCTCCAGCTGTGCTGGTCGAACACTCTGACCGGAGTCAGAGAGTTTGACCAGCACAGACTGATATCTACCAACCGCCCCACGCGGTCAGATATGGCATAAGGCCGAATTTAATGTCAGCTCTCAGAGTCCGTAGATAGCTGTTTCCCGATACGAGTCTTTGCCCTTCGACATAGCCTCATCTGGGGATCCTCTCAGCCTGCAGGCGAAGAGTTTAACTAGCACAGCTGAAGACGAATCTCCGACTGCGACACTGATATGGACATATAAAAAAATACGCACAATGTAAATTTAAAATAAACTAATGTCGATGAATGGATGTCCCGTCATGGAGGTTCCGTGCCTTGAGAGACAATTGAGCTTTACACTCACCTCTGACCTTAAGTTGATCCGTTGCTAAGCACGCAGGAAAAATGGCCGGATCCCCGTACCGCTTCAGTAAGTAGCTTCCTCCGCATGATATCTTTTATATTTAAAAGAGCCAGAGCGAGCCTAAAATAGAGTAGTGTTGTCATATCTGGACGGGAACTGCCCAGCCCTTACTCTGTTGTCCCCGTAGAGATCAAAAGCGTCTCTGCGTTCTTCTGTGTAAAAAATTATTTTCCACCCTCCAACCTCTCTCTCACAGGCGGAATGAGGGGAAACCTCTCACTGCTCTATGGCTACTTCGATGGAAAGTGCTCGGGCGAGCTGCATTCCTTGGTTCCGCTAATTGTAACCTTCACAGCTAGGATCCTCCACACCACTCACATTGCAGCAAACCACACCCATACCCTAAGTGTTCCAATGATGAGAAGTATGTTCCACTCGAACACCTTCTTGTCGCGAACCATTACTCTACAGAACCGACTCCCAAGAGAGTGTTTCCCCGATCACTACAATCTTAACCTGTCCAAGTCTAGCCTTAACCGTTATTTTTCTATCCGCAGAAACTGCTTTTTAATGTAATCCTCTACATCGAATGGCTCTTGGGCCATGTACAATGTGAACATTAAAAAATGCTCGTGTCTATCATACAGCTTTCTTACAGATAAAGTGGCAACGTGATGCAACAGAGATATGGTTATACAGGAAGATGTTGAGAATTATAAGCAACAAAATGTTTTAAAGAAAAACGGAATTAGACTGGGCACTTCATGACAGAAAGAAAAGGTAAATAAGTGTTAAACAAACTGTGCTAGGAAAAATTAAAACTTTCCTTTTTTAATCACTTCATGCCAAGCAAAGCAATAAGGCTACTGAGGTACGGGGGTCAGTGAGTGTGAAATTATATGAGAAAAAGAAAAGAGGGGAGAGAAGACAATAAAAAAAAAACAAGAAAACACGGGATAACGATTGGCATTGGATATAATTTTTTGAAGATCAAAGTTGACTGGGAAGCAAGAGAAGCGGAAGAAAGTTCTACAAAAGAGAATTGTGGGAAAAAAATTCTGTTAGCAAAGAATATACGGTTACATGCCGCCATTTCAGTTGCAAACTGATGGAACCTTGCTGCCAATCTAAAATTGGGCTTAATTTCATAAAATCGAGGTAGTAAAGAGAAAGGTTCATCAGAACAATTACCATGAAAGTATTTACAGAAAAGGCTCAGGAAAGTTAAATTACGCCGGTGTCAAAGTGACTGAATGGGAGATGACTGGTCAGGACCCAAAACGTTGTTCATTCTTTTGGGAATTTTATCAAGAAAAGAGAGAGAGAGGGAAGGAGGGAGAGAGAGGGAGTAAGAGAGAGATAGAGGGGGGGAATTAAGAAAACACAAGATAGTGATTGATCCGCATAGGCGAAACCTAGGTAGGTTTGCCTGGCTCTTTAGGGTCGTAGTTTCAACAGAATATATTGCATCTAGGCATATGGTTCTGTTGTTACCTCTCACGTGGTACGATGTCATAGAACCGAATCATGAATTTACAACTTGCGTCTGCTATTCCACAACCGTTATCGTCGCATAGCAATGTTCTATGTCAACATAAGAGAATATCATCTTTGATGGTGAATATCTTTGTTGAAATGTCCGTATAACCACTCTGAAGATGGATCATGTGAGCTGAAAGCTTCGATCAAGGAACAGCTTTATAAAGAAATATCCAAACGTTGGACAATCTTTGTCTTTATTTCCACCCGAAATTAAAGCAACCATATGAAGTTTAGAACGACTTATGATAAGACATAATAGATATTCATTGTTTGCTTTATTTAACAATATATGTTTAAATAATGATCTGATGCCGGAATACAATATATATATATATATATATATATATATATATATATATATATATATATATAATTGACTTTCCCGTCGGTTTCGACGTATGAGGATCTGACAGCTTAATTGTTTCAGTTATGAAAGTTTTTGCATAATCTTAAGCGGCATTAAAGACCCGTTAGTGATTTACAAAAGGAGGCCATATATGGAGCTAGAGTGAGGATTTGTGGATGAGATCATTGTTAGATTGACTGACCTTTTAGATCTTGCTCTCACTTCTTGAGACGATTCAGACAAGCAGATTGAAAACTGCTGAGTCCACTGAAATACGTTGATTTCCATTCTACCCGCTCCAAGGCTAAGCTCTCAAGGGTGTTATGTGGTATATTGACAGCTGACAAGTTGTTTTTCGGCTTATCTTTGTATCTTAGCAATGGGCGTCCTACATTCCTGTAGCACTGATCTAACTGGCTGTACATTAGGATCTTTGGTAGCCTGTCACCAGACATTTACAAGACATGAACAGTCCATCGTAACTGAGACTAGTATAATATAATATAATATATACAAGGGACTTGCCATTATAAAAATTATCATCTCGAACCAAAAGTCAGAATTTTTAATTTTGACCTTATTTTGGGACTGGCTGAGTAAGTTTCAGAGGTCTCTTGTAAAAATACACTTGCGTTCAAAAGTTACGGGCCACCATGTTAAATTAAATAATTTTGTTAATTTTATACTTATTTAGGGTTGCTAGAAGGAGAAAAGAAAAAGGAAAGAAAAGAAAAAAGAAAGGCGAGAATTAAAATTAGGTGATAAGAAGCCATCACGAAAAGGACACTAAGCGGTGTTATTTTTCTGACAAGGAAAAGTGGTAAAATTTTTATTTCCTATTCTCGAGAAGGTAAAAAGAAGAAGATACTGGAATTAATCTGATTTAGGTTACGGGGCGGGTGGAAGTTCCAGGTTGGCCAAATAACCTCAGAGACAGAATTCTAAATAGATAAACATGCAACTGTGTTGCAGGAATGCCCATTTGAGACCTCTCACAGAATTCTAAAGAGATAAAAATTAAATAGGTCATCCGCTGACCGAGAAACAAAAATGTCCGTTGACCACACAAGGATTGCCAAAACAAAAGACCAAACCATTGGTTATCTAAGGGAAAGTCGTTGAAAAAGGCATGTTTTGTGTTGAAATTCGGCTATGACAGCGAAACTATTTTATCGGATCAGAAATTGGCACCAAGAATGCAAATATGTCTAATTGACCACCCACTTGTTTGGCGAAGGCCCCGGGTGATAAAAGTCTAAGTGACATTTGGCTAAGATAAGAAACCAAGGGTTCGCTGTCGGGCAGAAGGAAAGAAAGAGAAAAAAAAAAAAGAAAAAAAAGAGAAAGGAAGATAATTTTTTTCTTTGAGCAAGATTTTTTTAAACCGAGGCTAGTCTAGCCACACCCACGCTGCTGAGCGCCCATGGTGGCTGATTGGTGGTGGCAGGAGTATTGGGCGGAGGTAATCACCCATTGAGGGATAGGTAGGAGGGGAGGCCTGTTGACACCCTCTGAGGGCATGGTGAGACACCAATATGAGAACAGAAGAAGGTGGGAGGACAAAGAGACTTCCAAAATGGAAATTAATAAAATTTTCCTGACCGAAAACAAAGAAGTGGATTGTGGGTTTGGAATTATCAAGGAACCTCAAACCCCGAAGAGCCCACCCCGGTTTTGCTCGGCATCCATATAAGCAAAGTCGCAGCGAGCGAAAATCAGTTTTCAGTTCCAGTTCCAGTTGAGAGGCAGTTGAGTTACGTTCGAAGTTCGCAGTTGAAGTTGCACTCCACTCACAGAGCTGACAAAAATTCCACGCAAATTCCGAACTCATCTTCTAATCAAGAACAATTTATTTTTGAAGAACGACTTAGACTCACAACACCAAAACAAGTTTTACGAATATCGCCTGAAGACACACAAAGAACCAGTTTCTTAAAAGAACAAACAACTTGAGATGTTAAGACTTGCCTAACAAACACAAAGTGTCACGAATCCATATAGCGGGTTTGGGAAGAAGACTCAGTCCTGTACTCAGCAACCA